TTGCCAAGCGACGACAACCCAACCCCGATGGCAAACACCGGGGGGGGCGACTTGTTTCCAACGTCGTTGCCAAGCGACGAAAACCCAACCCCGATGGCAAACACCGGGAGGGGCGGCTTGTTTTACAACGTCGTTGCCAAGCGACGAAAACCCAACCCCGATGGCAAACACCGGGAGGGGCGGCTTGTTTTACAACGTCGTTGCCAAGCGACGAAAACCCAACCCCGATGGCAAACACCGGGAGGGGCGGCTTGTTTTACAACGTCGTTGCCAAGCGACGAAAACCCAACCCCGATGGCAAACACCGGGAGGGGCGGCTTGTTTTACAACGTCGTTGCCAAGCGACGAAAACCCAACCCCGATGGCAAACACCGGGAGGGGCGGCTTGTTTTACAACGTCGTTGCCAAGCGACGAAAACCCAACCCCGATGGCAAACACCGGGAGGGGCGGCTTGTTTTACAACGTCGTTGCCAAGCGACGAAAACCCAACCCCGATGGCAAACACCGGGAGGGGCGGCTTGTTTTACAACGTCGTTGCCAAGCGACGAAAACCCAACCCCGATGGCAAACACCGGGAGGGGCGGCTTGTTTTACAACGTCGTTGCCAAGCGACGAAAACCCAACCCCGATGGCAAACACCGGGGGGGATGGGGGCGACTCAAATCTGGCCAGACGTGCTGCATGTTCTCTCACTGCGCTCCATTTCTGTTCGCCAAGCCAGCGATCAACAGCCTTGTTTCCGTCTCACCTATTCAGGACGTCCTTATGCTATGGGCATTGTTGTATGTTGTCGTTCCTTCGAACCGTGATTGACACGCGTTCGATTTACATAGTCGAATGGGGGCCGTGCAGTCTGCAAGCAGCATCTGCGTTCGTGTGAAATGGGGCATCGGGTTTTGTACCTTTGTTCGCCAGTGTTGGAGACTGCTCTGTAGGCGCTCAATCTTGCGTATCTTGACTTCGATTTCCCGGCTTAGTTCCTGATCTTTTGAAGTGAGGTACTTGAAATCCGTCGTTCGTTGATCCGTGTTCTGAAAAAGGAATAAAAACGAGGGTCAAGGAACGTGTCGGTAAAGCAGTGGTGGTTGGATAGGCAAGAGGTTGCAATCAGGTCCATCTCTATATCATTGTGAATCCTTATTTTCGTCGATGCGTCTGGCCGTTTGGGTTACAGCAGCTGCAACCGACTTTGGTGGAAATCAGATCTGTAACGGGTACCTTCGATTTCACCGTAAACTTTGCCACACAAACCAAAACATAGGGCATAGGACTTATCTTTGACGCCGACACAAAGTACAACAGGTAAGACGTGCACACATCTGCTAGCTATCTGACGGAAACAGCAGTTTAGTCTACATGAAGGTATCCTCCATTACTTGCAAATGTACAATTTGACGCACCTGCAGGTAGTTGATGTGTGCCGTCTCGAAGTGCTGCTCTAAGTCTTCGATTTGAGTGTCTAGCGTGATGCGAAGGACGTTTATCTCCTCCAAGTTCTACGCACAAGAATAAGCCCGGAGACGAACCAATAGACGGAACACGGATCAATGATCACCGAGAGACAAAGCGATTGATCGATCCCATCCAGCAGCGGACGCGGAAGTCAGAGCACATAGAGAGGGCAGGCGGGCGTAACGGCGCACATTGGGGTCGGGTGGGGATGTTTATAGGGAATGTCAACCGGCCCGGGTTTGGCTCATTGATCATGCGTCATCCCTAAACGTCATTTGTACGCTTAGTAGCGAACCGTGGGCGTCTGACGGGCAAGAGGAAAGTGGAATATCATCGTGTACTGACCACCGTTTGTCCACAAATTGAAGTGAATCGTTCTGCATACCACCCCATCTAGTCTGCCTATACAATGCAAAGCGGAATTACTTACGTTTCCCAAACTGCGCTCACCGCATTGGTGGATCAGGGACCAATGTACTTCACACACGTTCACAATACCTAGACCCGTGTGAGTGAGCCAAATTTGCTTCCCATGCAGGACTCTGGAGAGGTACTACTGTACATACATATCATTGACTCCCAGGCATTTCACTTAAAGTCGGCTACTGCTTGGCGCCCACACGCTTCGCTAGCAATGGCGACACTATCGTCCAATTCGCTTTCGAAAATTCACAGGTTTTCACTTCTCTTGGCGGAGCACCATGGCCCCAGGCCGACCTATGAACCACACCCAGTCAATGGTGGAACGACTCCGCCTCTCGGGGAAGCACACAAATACCTTATTTCGGATCTCTTCACGCTGCTGCTCGTGCTCCTGCTTTGCGTCGGCCTCTCGTTCCTCTTCTTGCGCCTGTGTCGTGGATGTAACGTACAGATAGATCGTTCAGTTGGTGTGCTCATCATGGCGAAGTCGCGTTCATTCGGGGACAATCTGCAGGCCGCCTACAAAAAAAACAAACATCCCCGCACATTTTCTCAAAGAATATCTCCTGTTCACGGGACTGGAGGAGCTCGAAGATTGTTCTTCTGTGTTGTTTGTAGGTGTGCGCGTTGTAGCCTACAACCGTCGCATCTAGTGTCTCCGAACTTCTCGGAGGGATAGCAGAAGCAACTCAACACCCGTATGTTGGTGTTTGAAACGCAACTACGCATAACATGCATGACACACCTCTACGGCGGCGATGATGTCGCTCAGCTCTTGCACCTCCGCCGCGTGTTGCTTGACCACATGATTTCGCTCTTCTGCAAACTCCTATTGCCTCACACACAGTCATATGTACCGATGTCATCATTGTCTGTGTGCGTCGTTAGAGGAACTTGAGTTGTCGTCAAGTGCGTGTTCAAACCTGTTTTTGTCGATTGTAGGAATGGTATCGTCGACTCCCCCCTTCTCCAAAACATGAACAATGGTGTATGGCAATGTCCACTGAAGGAAAGGTGCTTGCTCCACCTCATGGGAAATGCCTGGTGAACGGATTACACGCTTCAAAGGTCATCAACAATAGAAAACACGTCTTGTGTGCTTGTGGTGCGTGAAACGGCAACGAAAAGGACAAGCAGTAGGGGGTTTCGCCTGGCCACCAACTTCATCTCTATCGGAAACAGGGATTTCAAATACCCTTAAGCCACATCGATTCAGCCTCGATAACTGAGGCATGACTAACAGTCGTGATCCCACCGATGCGCCTATAAATGACACCAATCTCCTCTCATGGTAGTGGCGCACCCGTTGCAGCGTCTTGAGCTCCACCTCAAATTCCTGCTCGAGCGCTAGCAGCCTGGAGTCTTGCAAATCAATGAGCTGATCCATGTTCTGGAGGTGCGCCCGAAGAGCCGTCTGGAACTGATCCTCGGCCTGTTTTGGGTCGCATCGGGTTGGGAGGGTGGGCAAAGCAGCCAAGATCGGGGAGAGAGGCGCGGGGGGGGGACAACCTAGGGGCTATATCCCACTCAATCGCTAACGTATCCTTACCGAGGTACCTCATGTTGTCTACACCCCACCACTCCCGGTGTTCTGGTGTTTATTGGCCCTTTGTTTCCAAAGAGCTTCTCTAATCAACCTTTTGATGCCCACATTCTGTTCTAGATGAGGGGGGCATAGGTATGAGGAAGATGAATCTCAAGCACATGTACGCATTACACTTCGGGTTTGATAATGGTGAGGCGGGGAGCTGAGTGCACAATCCATGCATCACCATTCGTTCTAACCTCGGCTCGTGCATGAACTCCCCGGAAGAGCTTCGGTGGGCTTCTTCATTACCCTTCAATGCTTTGAAAACTTCCAGTCTACCGCTACGACAATTGTTTAGAGCAGTGGCGTTACACACGTGTCCAGCCTCTGTTCAGCACGGCCCCGCTTCTCTGTGTCTCTGGTTCTGTCCCTCCCCTTTTTTCTCTACATGCTTGTGTCGTCTTGCTTCTCTGTCACTTGTTTTTCCCTGTTGTGCGTTCGTGGCAAATGAGCCGAACATCTCATCGCAACGCAAGTCATCCGCCGACGTCATCCCGAAAACAGAGCAAGATGAACCAAAGCTTCCGGCCTCACCTCACGGATAAAACACAGCATGCGGGATTCACTCACCTCCTCGAGGTCTCGATCAAGCATCTGAATGATGGCATCCTTTCGGTCCACGTCTCGCTCGTGGTTCTGCGAGAGGATCTCGATGTCCTTGCGAAGACTTTCCACCTGACACACGACGCAAGAGGATTTCCTCTCAAGTGTCATGCTTCAAGGACGCCGACATCGCCGAGTAGCACCTTTCGGCTTGGAACTTCGAGTATTTTGGGCCCAGGGAACGTCGAACAGCAGGATTCCGATACCGCTAAGGATACTCTCCAGCTACGTGCGGATGAACTTGGACAGCTCTTCCAATGGTTGGCGATCAGTGCGGTGGAGGTTTTGGGTGTAATGTGGTTCTGAACCTTGCGGCCCAAAATTGGGACGATTTCTTCTTTCGGCGTTTTCCTGGGTAGTCTTGTGTGTTCATTTCTTAGCCCAGCGAGACGATTCCGTCGCTCGAGAAAAGTTCTGCTGCCCCCTGTTCGTCGAAACAGTGCACCCCGTACTACGGGTATTACGCGGTTTGCTCCCCGAATATTCGCGCGACTTGACTTGGTTGACAATCAACGAAATGACTTCAAGAAGGTAAAAAAATTATTGAACCGTGCCCTAACAATTCGAGTCGCCTTATTGGCGGGATTTAGGCAGCCATGTCGACCCTGTATTTTTTCAAGCCCCCCAGTGCCCCCCCTGCACCCGGTCTTGGGCCGTCAACACTAGCCCCCCCGGTCTCTTCTTGGTCACCTTCGCCAGCCGCATGATTTTTCTCCACTGGTTCTGGATCTTGAGCCGATTCATTTTGCTGTTCTTCTCCTCCTTGTCGATACGGCGTCGCAGTTCTGCCTTCGCAGCGATGGCCTGCTGCCTAGAGGGTGTTTTCGGTTGATCGTCGTTGTTATGACGCCGCCAAGCAGGGTGCTGTTGCTGTCAAGCACTGTCCCGCTACATACCCCAGACCTATTCGCATAGTTTAACGATCGGACCCGTGGTCCCAAGTACAGGCGCCCCCTCTCAAATGCGACCAGAAGTGGCGGTGACATCAACTTCCGCGAAAGTGTAGCGAAAGATGTTGTTTTACCATCAGTAAATAACCGATACAATATAGGAAAGTTCCACGTTCGCGAAATTTTTGGGGACACAAGCACGCCGGCAATACGTTTTTTTGGGGAGGTCAGGTCGTGCGTCAGAGATACGTCCATTGATCACGGAGTGAGCAAGGTGGTTCAAATTGGGGGCAATTTCTTTTGGGTAGGTTGTCGTGGGAACGCCACCAAAGGCACAAGCCAACCACAGCTCAACCCTTGCCATGTTTTCACTATGTTGCAGGATTGTATAATAAATGCTCGCGGCACTGCGTGTAATTGATACTCCAAATACGGACATTTTTATCCACCGATTGAAGGGTTGCTGTCACAATAGACGGACCTGGCCATATCCATCTCCTGCATCTTTGCGTACTTGGCCTGCAGCTCTGCGTATTCCTTGGGTTTCTCGGCGCCTTTCTTTTTCACCTGTACCGGAATGTAGTTGGACATACGATCGTGAGGATCCAAATGGCGTTCGCTGAGCCTAAACAATCGAGGTAACAAACCCCTGACAACATGCTCAACAATTGAGACTAACGTGTAGCTTGGTGAGGGAAACTCGTTTGGGTGGGTTGCGAAGACAGTTCAGAATTCGCGTCGGAGAGAACAGCTTGAGGCTTTCTTCGACAAGGTGGCTGAACAGTGAACCAAGAGAGGATAGTAATGCGTCCCGAAAAACGCCTGTCTTCCTCGACATAGGCTGGTCAATTAGCATGTGCTTATCCCCGAAAGTCAGGCTTGCCGATCAAAACTATCTTCGTCTCGCAGAAACTTTTTTTTACGGTGGTGTCAATGTACCAACGACTTCGGAGTACATAGCAGGTAAACGACGTACAGAACCACAGCTTCCTCGTTGACGGGAGAGAACAGCCGTAGTATTGAAAAAAAAAAGCTCCGAATATGCATTGAATACAAGGATTACCGTAGGTTTCATAAGTTATCACACATCCTGATTTCGGGGCTCTATTTCTCCACGACGACGAGGATTCCAAAACCATTTGACGTGCTAGAACGCACTCGAAAAGACGATTTCAACGCCGTCATTCTCGTCACCGTCGCTGTTTTTTAGGAGCATTTCTGAGTTTGGGAAATCGGTCCAGCGGATGGCATCTTATGCAATCTACGGTATGTTGCAATGGGTACTCGGAAGCAATGAATATTCCCACCTGGCTTCGGCCCTTGACCACCTTTCCGAGTTGAGCCCCTCCCCTGAGTCTACCGAGAACGTGTACGGTGCTGTCAGCCTGGAGACCGTATCCCAGTAGAGGCCGTCCCTTCTGTAGATCCTTGCCCGCAAAGACCAGGCGAATATCGGCGTCGATAGTAGCATCACCTCCACCGTCCTCCCCCACATTCTTGTCACAATCTGTGGATGAGCGTCTCCTATTCGCCCTGGTCCTGTGCGATGAAAGCCATGGTGGATCGGAGGAGACGCAACCGCCGTCCGCTCCTGGGTAGATGCTGGCCCCACAGGCTTGTCGGAGTCGTGAAACGTCGTCGGTGCAGAGGTCCACATCCCGGACGGTGATGCACTGTTCATCAGCAGGGTAGTGGAGAATGATGCACCGCATCCAGCATAAGAAGGGTGCTCAACTTAGCGATGACCCAGGGATTCTCTCACGCACTGTGCCAACCATAGCTGCTCGGGCAGGCGAAGAGCATGGGTTACTTAGGGCATTACGAAGTCATGGGACGTGAATATTGTCTACACAGCAATGGAGGGGACAATGCACCTGCCCTTGAGGGGAAGCCAGAAAGAGCTGCACACGGCCGGGTGAAACAACGCCGTTGGCTGGAGATGTTGCCATTACTCTCGGCGGCGAGATATCTTCGCGGTGAAGGACAAGCAGATACAGACCCTCCTTGAAAGCAGCTTTCGGACAGCACGGTCGTAACCTTTGCTGCCGTTGCCACACAATCTCGGCAACACGAGGAACTTCTATGATTGCATAAATGTGTTTTCTAGCGGCGTGTTGCTTACGCCCATAAGAGAGCGAGAGAAGGACAGAACATCTCACGTTCCGTTTCGACAAAATCCATCAGTTTCTGCCGGTTGTGCGGCGCAACTCATGCCGGTTCTCAGTCAACCACGGGCGAATGACCACCAGGACATGAGGCAGTCATAATCATCGGCTGATGTGCTCTTGACAGCAGTCCAGCACAAGAATGATGCAACCATCTGCCGGTGACACTAGTGCCAAGGGGGTTGCTGGGCTCAGTTGTGGCGGGACAGCCACACATGTCGGCAAAGTCGCGTCTGCTCTCCTTGCCAAACATGTGCGCACGCTTGAGGTTCTCCATTCGCTTCAAAAGAGCAACGCTCAGCTTAGGCGAGACATCCAGGTATGAGGTCAAACACAACTGGCGCTACACATAGGATGATAAATAGTGGTCGAAATTAGATTAAATACCAGATCGAGCCTCCTCGTCGCTGCTATACCTGTACAGGTTAGGTTCAGAGCGAGCAACAATCCGACTTTGACATATTTCAGGCTTATGATGAAGGCTCCGGAGAATCACCTTGTTTCAACAAGCTGCGCATGGAAACCCCCAGTAACACGATGCTGAATACTGTGGTGCAACAAAGAACAGGATAAGTCGGGAGAGGAAGAGGTACAACGGAGAATTGCCGAGGCCGTTGCCGCAGCCGTTGCCGCGCCGAATGACCTTAGTGAAGAGGTGAGTAAAATTGAGATGTTGTCGCCGAAAATACGTCGCTTGAAGTCAGTAGGTGGCGCGGTACTGCATGCTCTCCGACTACGGCTTGGCAATAATTTAAGTACGTGTACAGTGGCTCGCACCACCTGTTGACTCAATGAATCGCGGTGATTATTGAAACAACGTGCTTTCAACAACCATTGATTCGAGGCTCCCCGTCGAGACTAGGCAGTCGAGAGCAGTACGCATTGTCTGGGAAGCTCAAGTCTGACTGCCAACTCATTGATAAGCCTACGTTAGGCTACAACGCTGCCCACATCCGGAAAACGGGGATACACGCGAAGGACTCAGCAACCCTGTATTCGATCAGCGTCACACTGGTCCTCGTGTGGTTCGACGCCAACAGCAAGACTCTCTGAGCGACCTTGATGGAGGAGACCGACGATGAGGACCACAAATACGGGCATTGCGACTTGAGCAGTCCGGCGTGTTCAAGAGGGCTTACCGATTAGACTTCTCATCAGCGCTGCATGCAGTCTTAGTGGTTACGCATTTCCGAACACGGCAATTGTATTCATGCCTGGTCCAGAACAAGTGGATTCATCCTGAATACGTACGCTGCTGCTCCATATCGTTGAACGGTTGACAGCTGCAGGCACAAGGAGAGAAACTATGCGAACGAGTCGCCGGGCTGGAGCAGGAGTTGAACTCTGCGAAACAGAGTGCCGAAAAAAGTCTGGATAACGCCAACAGCCAAATGGAGAGCTTGCGAAAGATTAATGTAACGGTGAGATCAGTCGCGGTTGCCTTTTTACGCGCCGCTCTCCCAACTTGAGGATGCCTACGCCGTGCCATCACTGCACCTCAACCATAACCCATAGGTCGGCGGAACAAACATACTGGGGGACGATAAGAAAGTGGTTGATCAGTATCCATCCACACGCCATACTGTCGATGCTATGCAGCTCCAGAAAAAGTGCAAAGACCTCGAATTCGAGGCAGCCTCTCACGAGCGGCAAATATCTCAACAAGGCGAGGTGGAGTCACACCTGCGGGAGACATCTGTGGCGCTGGCGCTGGCAGAAGGAAGGGCGAGCGACCTCGCCAGGAGACTTGCGGATCAGGACTCGATTTCGAGTACGCTACAGCTTCGTCTGAAGGTGCAGCGAGATGTTAGCCCAAGACACGCATGATGCTCTCCCTGGTTTCTGTACTTGGATCGCGGTCGTGCATGCCTCATGTTCTGGATTTGTTGAGACCATTCGCTTCAACCTAACCGTGAAAACATAGTCTTCGGGGCAGAATATTATTTTCGTACAGTGTCAGCGTGTTCGCGAGAAACTTTTGAGCTCGGCACGACTGTGCCTCCCCGAGAAATCACAGGTTATTCCTATGCATGCTACCACATAAGATGTAGTGTAGTGCCGGCGGCTGGGCCACATTTCCTTCGCCTCCCTTCGTACTTGAGAACAAGATGAGAGCTACGATTTCTTGTAACTGATGTTTCTTTTGGGTGGGGCCGCACTGCAGGTCATGATTTCAAACCTGCACTACACCGAGATTGGAGACTGTCGATATCAATGTCTTCTATGAACGAATCACGTGAAACAGCCTTTCGTTCTGGGACATGCGACGCCCCGCAATTACCCCGACTTTCTGACAAGCAGTGATACCTCCGTTTCCCCCTCGTTCCCTTTTTCTGCCTCCGCCAACATCACAAGGAGAACGATGAAAAAATTCGCGCCATGAAGGAGGCAGAAACAATCCTCACAGCTGAGGTGGACGAGAGCAAGACACAGCTCGCACGTCTAGACGGACAGGCGCGCGACTTGCAGGAGAAGCTCAGGGTGGCCGAAGCTGAGCACGAGCAGCTCGGAGTACGGCTCGAACACGCTATACGGGACCTAGCAATTTCGAGGGAGGAAAACAAGGAAATGGTGAAGAAGGAGCAGGTCAGACGCAAACAGCTAATCGTTCAAAGACAACGGCATATGTCATTTTCTACTAATCTCTTCCCATTTTTCTCCCGTGGGTGACTTTTGTTGTTGCCGGGCTGACATATGATTGCTGTCGAATTTCCTGAACGCCAATGTTCTCCAAGGTCCTCAGAGCTCGTCGCGTGCAATTCCGTGAAGACAAGGTCTATCGAGGTTGAAAGTCGAGGGGGGATTGTCTGGTGCCGGTACACAAAAAGGCGACGACGCTGATGCGAACGGGACAGTTTATTTCCATTGACAGCCATCGACAACCTGAACTCACTTCACTAACAGGAATCGCTTGCGAAGGCAGCCGAGCAGAAGTCGCGGGTCAACGCTGCGGAGGCGAAGTTATCGGAAGAAAGGAAGCGCTTCCAGAGATTCCGACAGGATGCCAAGCAAAAGATTGAGGAGGAAGCGGTGGGTCCACAAAGTGCATGCTCTTGGCAACATGGTCTGGCGTGGGACACAGCTCCACACCGAGAGAGACCGAGACGGCCACCTGTACAACGCCATCCTTACCGTTTCTGATAAGCTTCGTCAGCATCGCTTGCGTACACAACTAGAGCCGTCGAAGAGCGCTCACCATTTCTGCGTAGTAGAATCGACGAAGAAAGACCCGGAGATGCCGACGGGTCCATGAATGGTGCGATATTCCAATGCTGTGTGTCGGCGCTCATGGCTGTTTAATCGAATTGTTTTCAGCGGCGGTACAACGCGGCTCTCATGGAGCACGCCAACGAGCGAGAGCAGCTCCTCGTGAGGATCGACGCGCTCTCGCATGAGGTCGAGTCGATGCGAGCTCACATGGTGAGGAAATGGAGACTGTTCGGCGAAGCCGTGGGTAAATCGACTGGCCTCTTTAATGCTCGCCTGACCCCACACTGCCAAAATGTGTATTCCTCCTGGTGGCTGAAACCCCTCGGCGTCCCTCCGTCCCGGTATTGAAAGGACTCCAGGGCCGAAAATAGCATTCACCAACACTGCCACGAAAGAATGATCGCAAGAGGCTGCCCACCCCCACAGTTCCTTCATTTATTCGATCTTCAATGGACCACAGGTGGAAAAAACGCCGGTTGCTTATCACCCTCCGTACTAGGTTGACAATGATATTGTGTAGCGAATCCCTCGCTTCCTACACTGCTGCAATACACAGCATTGTGTCCCCGTTGGCACACGCGTGGCAGCCGGTCCCGATTCTCACGTACGGAATGCCCCGGCAATGAGAACAGAGCTGCTTCTACGAGGTTCGTTGGATACGAAAAGGAGATACAGATACACTTCCAATGCATTTCCTTGTCCCACCGCGCGGTGAACGTCGCTCCCGTCCGCTTCTGTGGTTTGCGTCGACGGCAGAACAACAACCGGTCTCAGTTCAGCAAGTACGTTGAAGCCAAGACCGAAAACACACAGCTCAAAGAACAGGTGAGTCGTCACCGGATTCATGCCCCCTTGGTTTAGCAGCCCTGGACATTGGTACTCGAGGTTCGCATTGGCATCAATGAAAAAGTGTTTCCAATGAGTGGCTCACCAAGGGCTCTTTTGGCTCAAAAGCGAGACTGCTGCTCACCATTTCACATCCCCGCATGGTACTTTAGTCTCGGGTAAACACAACGATTCAGCATGCTTCCTCGTGCCGCCCTCTCGTCCCCGCCGTTCGAATTCTTCTTGCTCGTGCTCTTGGTTCTATCAAGCTCGACGGGCTGCGAGAGATGGTCGTAGCCGTTCCACGCCCTCCGCACCGAAACCACAGCCTCGGGAGCGGCAGCGGCTCTTCGATCCTCGGTGGAGACATGAACAAACATGTCAGCGTAGAGAGGCTCCGGCATTCCATCAGCGTGGCGCGAGGCCATCCAACCAAAACCAACACGATCAATAGCAAGTTTACCAATGGAAACTACAACGTCAGTGGTGGTGGCAGTGGGAAAAATGTTCTG